ACGCTTAGTTTTACGATGCATAACGTCATCTGCATATCATTTCCATGCATATTCCTATCCACGTGACACCATGTTTAACACCGTCAAAGGTACAAGACATTAGGAAAATATGATATGCGGACTAAGGCCCCGTCCACACGGAGACTCGTTTAGCTGTAATCTCCATCACCTGCGGGCTTTCACATTGAGCAGCATTAACTACACAGAGCCGTTGTTCACCGACAAGCTGCGCAAAATATGATCGTGGTTTTGCGCAGCTCGTCAGAGAACAACGGCTCTGTGTAGTTAATGCTGCTCCATGTGTAAGCCCGCAGGTGATGGAGATTTACCGTTGATTAAAGAACCGACTTTACTGACAAGATGCGCGTTATATATTGCATGCGATTTATCATGCAGCCCTATGTAACAGTATATTGGGTCCGTGGATAAACTCTTAAAGGGACCGCAGTTCAATATTTATGCTGCTGTCTGTCATGTTAATCAAAGAACAAAAGACAAAGAAAATAATTTTCTGCTCTTGACTGAATACGTTTTATAACTTTAATGGTAAGCATTAATCTGTATTTAATTTTTACAATGAAGACTACAGAAATTAATCAAATGTGGATTACTTTATACTTTACACTTAACACTGGATGTGTTATTTTACATTTGATTACTTTAATTTCTGTAGTATTTCTTAACTGAATAAAAACTTACTTAACCTGAAAAACTTAGTTTCATAGCTCTCTTTATTCTATTGCATTTATTTGTGCTGTTGTTTGCAATTTTTTAAATTTTTTTATTTGGATGTGCCAGATGGATGCTAGGCAGCGCCGTTCTGAATCCGCGCTTCCTGAGCTTCACGAGCACGCCTGCTCTCTTCCCCTGTCTGCGCGTCCTGAAGCGCTTGATCAGCGCCGCTGCTCCGCCAACTACAACGTTAAGCAAAACGTCCAAATAAACGAAATCCGGTAGTAGATTGTGTGGGGTGTACTGCCGAATGTTCAGCAGCTCATCCCTGGTAAAAAAATTGTATACCGCGCGCAAGGTTTATGCGCATGGTCTAAGTCTTCTCCTCCGTTTTTAGTGTATCTCTGTGGCAGAATTACAGCGCCACATGCTGGCCTGGCATGTATACGACATCGTTTTGTGTCGGTTTTGTGGTTTCGTGTGGACGCAGATATTTCTTGAGACGAGGGGAAAAAAAAAGATCGGATAGGGAAAGTTCTGGCTTCGTGTGAATGTAGCCTAAAATGCAATTTGTACGGTACAATACATTGCTAAAAAATCATCCACTGTCCTTGTCTTGTTTTCGATTAAATATATCATAATGAATGTAAAAACAGAATTGTATAAAATACTTCTCAGATAATCTTTTTAGAATAGAGTGGATCTCTTTCTTTTCCACTGGCCAAAGCAGTATATAATTGTTTTAAATTAAATGTTTTTGGATATTTAAATAGGCTATAGTTGAATCAGAATTACGGTGTGTGTGTAAATAAGTGTACATAATTGTCTGACGCGGCGTCACTGACAAAATATTATAAAAAAGAAACGTGCAAATTTTATCGTTTGCTCCTTCAATCACAATGCTATTTTCATAATGTTCTGAATGTTCGCGAAATAAACACCTCCGTGCAGCCTTGGTTGTGCAGTAGGCTAATATATTCGGACCTATTTAAACTTGCCAGTGGACCGTTCGACCACCGAATCCAGCAGTGTCTGCCACAATATCGAAGTAAGTGCGCATCGTTGATGTTCTTG